CAAGTAACCAAGAAGATTATGCAACATGACCAAGAATTCAGGGATGGTTCAACATATGCAAATCAATAAACATAACGCACTGTATCAACAGAGTCAAAGACAAAAATCACATGATCATTTCAATATATGAAGAAAAAGGTTTTGATAAAATCCAACACCCATTCACGCTAAAAACTCCACAAAAAATCAAAATATGTGATTTTTTACCTCAATCTGATAAAAGCTACGTACGACAAACCAACAGCCAGCATCATACTAAACAGACAAAAACTAAAAGCTCTCAACCTAAAATCCAGAACAAGATGAGGATGTCCACTACCACTATTCCTATCCAATATAGTTCGGGAAACATTAGCTAGAGGAATTAGAATAGGGCAAAGTAAAAAGAATAAAGATAGGAAAAGGAAGAAGTTAAGCTATCATTATTCGCAGATGACATGATATTCTACATAGAAGACCCAACACATTCCACTAAAAGACTTCTAGAATTAACAAAGAAATTCAGTAGCATAGCTGGATACAGGGTCAACATTCAAACATCAATGGCATTCCTGTATACAAACAACAAACTCACTGAGAGAAATTAGGGAAATCACACCCTTCACAATAGCATCCACAAAACTGAAATATTTAGGAATCACTCTAACAAAGGAAGTAAAAGACCTTTACATTGAAAATCACAGTACTTTTAAAAAGTACATTGAAGAAGATATCAGAAAATGGAAAGACAGTACTTATTTGTGAATAGGAAGAACCAACAGAGCAAAAATGGCCATACTGGGGCTGGGGATTTAGCTCAGTGGCATAAGTGCCTGCCTTGCAAGCAGGCAGTCATGAGTTCGATCCCTGGTACCGATAAAAACTAAAAAGACAAAAAAAAAAAAAAAAATGGCCATACTCCCAAAATTATTATACAGATTTAATTCAACCCTGATCAAAATATCATTGGCATACCTCATAGAGCTACAGAAAATCTTCCTAAAGTTCATCTGGAAACAGAAGAGATCTAGAATAGCACCAGGAATCTTGAGCAACAAAGGCAAGGAAGGAGGCATCACAATCCATGACTTGAAATTATACTGCAAAGCTACTGTGATAAAATCAGCATGGTATTGGCAAAAATAAATCAGACCCTAGGATCACTGGAACATATTAGAAGTTGTAGACACAACTACAAACAAACTCAGCCACTTTATCTTTGACAAAGGGGTCAAACAAGTTCACTGGAAGAAATACAGCCTCTTTAATAAATAGTGCTGCAAAAACTGGCTTCCCACATGCTGAAGATTAAAACTAGACCTATGTCTATTACAATGTTCTAAAATAAAGTTGAAATGGATCAAAGATCTGAATATTAAAACAGAAATATTACATGTACTTGAAGAGAAAGTAGGTAAAAATCTGAAAGACGTGAGGGTAAGCGAAGATTCCATGAACAAAAACCAAACTGCATGGGAAATATTTCAAAGAAACAACAACTAAGATCTCATCTTATTAAAGTTTTTACACATCACCAACAGAGTGAAAAGCAAACCCGAAGAGTGGGAGAAAAAGTTTTAGCCAATGTTCCTCAGACAAAGGACTTCTCTCTTGAACATACAAAATTTTTTTTAAAAAATCAGACCCACCCCCAAACTGAAAGACCCTAACAAAAATGGGCATCTGAGATGAATGTATACTTCTTAGATGAAGAAATACAAATGGCAAATAAATATATGAAAAAAATGTTCAAGATCATTGGTAAACCAAGAAATGCAAATTAAAACAACTCTGAGATTCCATCTACTCCAAAAAGAATGGCTATCATCAAGAGTCACCCAATAACAAATGCTGGAAGGGCTGTGGGGAAAAGAACCCTTCTTCACTGTTGGTGGGAGCCTAGACTGGTACAATCATTTTAAAAATCAATGTGAAGATTCCTCTGACAACTAGGATTTCAGGCACCATTTAACCCAGTTATCTCCCTTCTGAGTATTTTCCTCAAAGAATTAAAAACATCATACCACAGCCATATACGTGCACCCATGTTTATAGCAGCAATACTCATAATAGCTAAATTTTGAAAACAACCCAAATGCTCATCAACTGAAGGATAGATAAAAAACACGTGGTATTTTATCCAATGGAGTACTACTCAGCTGTAAGTAAGGATACACTCCAGGCTCTTATACAAAAAGGGATGCAACTAAAAATCATACTCATAAGTGAAATAAATGAGACTCAGCATTGCAATGTTTCCCTAGTGTAAGAAACTGAAAGAGTAAATAAGATCCAAAATCTACAATAGATATCATGAAAGAGGAAGCAACTGCTCAAAAGAAAGAACAACTGGGATGGGAGAAAGGAGAAAAGAAGGAAAGGAAAAATATATAAATAAATAGTACCTAAGATAATTATGCTACTAATTTTTTTAGTTCATTGAAAAGAATGGTGTTTATGCTTATACTGTTTGATCAATTTTGCATGCCTATATCTTGTAATCTGAGCAACTTACTCTGAAGGTATTTGTACACAATATATTAACCATTATTAATTTCCTGTTAGCTCAATATGAAATTACACATCACTGTTTTTATTTCTCTCTTTAAAATAAAAAAAATGCCATTGTTGAAACCTGCTGAGAGATTTTAACTGCATTAGAATTCATTATTTGGATGTAATTTATTTAAATCTGTGATACCAAAATCAACTACAAAAAAAAAAAAAAACTACTAGCCTTTTAAATTGAATTGCAGGCTTTGAATGCTTGGTAAACAAAATGTCTATACAATGCTATTTCTTCAAAAATGTGTTTTTTGAACCCTTTTCAATTATTCAGAATAACTATTTTGGCACTTTCATTAATTATATTTCCAAAGCAACTTCTTAATAAGAGGACATTCATACTAGAGCAGTTGATACTTAAAGATCATTTTTATTAAGTATATTAGACATAAGAAATAGTATCTGTCTGTGGATTTCCATTGAATCATGCCATTTCAATCCTGCTCTATCCAGCATTAATTGTGAGAAAATCCTAGATGTTAACCACTTTGTAAAATAATCCTATGCATTATGGAAAAATGTCTTAGGTTTACATTTTAATCAACTCAAGACAATTATGTGTGGTACAATTGTGGCAATTCTTGACTGTTGTCATCATCCATGGTGTGAAAAAAATCAACTTAAGAGTGCAGTTTCTAAGAGCCGCAATCATACACATAACAGTATTTACTAAGGGGTTAGCATGTACCAGGCACTGCGGCAGATGAATAACAAGACAACAGAAGACACAGTATAGAAATTCCCAACATTAGGCAGCTACAGAATATAAAGGCAGAAAGCTCAGAGTATTAACTATAGTATGTACCAGGGTTAAGTTGGGAAAGAGCAAATAACATATGAAAAGACACAGAGTAAAGATTCTGCCCAGTGTGCTGCAAAAACAGAATGTATCATCATGGCAGGCAATATCTATCAACTCCTTGGTCCATCCTGATTTGTTTCCTGGCTAACTATGAATACAACACACTTTATTTCACCTGACTCAGGAAAACTACCCTCACACACAGGTCTAAACTCTTAGATAAGCACTAAATGAATATGTTCATCATAAGTTTACCAAAGCTTCTATTAAGAAAATATTTATAGGGGCTGGGGATTTAGCTCAGCAACATAAGCATCTGCCTTGCAAGGGTGTGCTCGTGAGTTTGATCCCTGGTACCGATAAAAAAGAAAAAGATTTTTAAAAAAAACAGAAAGAAAATATTTATGATCATATGGACCTTTAGAATCACAACTTTGCTGGGAAACCATGGCTCAACTTTAGAAAACAAAGAGGAATGCCAGAAGTGGTCAGAGATGATGCTGAAGAAATAAAAGATGTCATGGAAGGCCTTATATATCATTATGGTCCAAATAATTTATTATTATTTAATAATGATTTATAAATAAATCACTGTAACAGTAATAATAAAGTGTATATAAGCTAGCAATAAGTGAAATATGTGAGATGATATATATATTAAAATTTGTTTGACTCTAGCAATTAATTTACTACATATATACATAGTACGGTATCATATTACACACATTAAAAATACATGTTTAAGTTAACAAGATGAGCCAATAAGTAAATTCCACTGTAACACACATGACATTTCCTAAATTCACTTCATTATTCCATTATTTAGAGATATCATTCACTTTCCCCATGATCACAACTTGTGTGCATGCACCGATAAACATGCTGCTTCCCCAGATCAGCATCTGCCAAAGGGCACTTTGATGGGGAGTTGGCATCATCTACACATTGAAAAAAAGGGCTCCCATTGGAGCTAGGCCTCTGTGAACTCAAAGATCTATTAGGTTATTTCAGAATTACAAATGACGCAAGTCTAAAGTTTAATAATTACACATCAAGGTCATCATTCACCTGAACCTTTCAAGGACTCTTATATCAAGGTGCCTGGAAAACATACCCCAGAGCCAGGCCACAGTCTTACCTTTTGCACTCACATTTCCATGCAATGGGTACACAGGGTATGATAGATTTTACTTTAAAGTACGCTTTCCATAGTCAGACTGAAAGGCTACTGTTGCCCTTGAAGTAATGTATTCCTATGCTCTGAGCTCAACTGCATTTTGTCAGGCAATCAGGCAAAGGAGAATTCAAACAGTACAAATGTAGTTAAAGACCGCTTTGTGCTCACTGCCTCTGTCAGCTCAATCCCTCTCTGGTCCAGGTTTTAGTTAAATCGCCAAACAGCACAGAAGAAATTAGCTCATGAATCCACAGGATCCACTCTCCTGTGAAGTCATCCACCCCACTGTGCCACACTAGATGCATGCAATCAATTTTTAATTACAGCAACAGTAGCGATCAAGAGATAAAGCAGGCAACTCACTGAGAAAGAACCAGTTTATTACAGTTCCAGTTAACCCTGAGCCAGACTTGGGCCACCTGTGACTCACTCAATTGTGATCTGGTAAGTTTCCCTTTTCCAGAAAGACACTCTTACCTTTGAGACGTTTTCTTGTATTTCCTCCTGTAGGAAAAGAAGCATAAACACATATCAGAAAAGGGTTTGTGGCAAGCATTGAGAGAGACAGAGAATATTTTAGTAGGGTAGGCCACGGGAATCTTGGGGTTCTCTTTATGAAGCTTATGAACTTCAAAACCCAGATAGAAGTTTGGGGTTTTTGTGTTACATTGTAGGCAGATGCATCCAACTTTCTCCTTAACAGTGAAAAAGGACATCCCAAGACTTCAGCGGCTCTGCTCACATTCCTCCCGCTTTGAGAGCACTGTGGAATACTGGTTGAAGTTGGTGTTTAAACACAGCAAGATCCAGGTTTGGAATTGTGATATAGTAAATAAGACAGAGGCTTACAAAACATTCCTTTTGTTTCACATATTTAAATGTGTTATTTGTGTTCTTGTAATTTTTAGTATATTACGATTATCTTGCAAAGGTTCCTTGAAGGATATGCTTTGTGGGATGGAAGATGCATGGTCTCACGCATGCTAAGCAAGGGCTATACTGCTGAGATACCCCCAGCACCAGGGTGTGTCTTGTTAAATGTAAATGTGTTATGCAGCTAAACCTTGAGAGCAGACATAAGGTTTTCAAAACAGGGAGAACTTTAGAAGGGGACAATGAGAGATGTCAAAATCAAAAGATGGGAGCAGCATTAGGAACTTGCCAAAGGCTCGGTTGTGAATTTTCCTGGGAAGAAGAGACCCAGGTCCAGCTACTTTCTGTTATTTACAATAGTCAGTAACTCAGGTAAACCTTGTGTGCATTACATTTCCTGACTCATCAAAAGGAGAAAGTGACACCTGCCCTGACTACCAGACATTGATCATAATGCATTTGAGGGGAAAACGGGCATAAACATATGTTAACTCAATAATCATCATATTTGTGTAGGCTTTTATTTGCTTTGATGCCCCTCAAAACTCTTTAAATAAGATCTTCAATGAGGAGGGTTGGAGGAAGGGAAAAGCTGGGAGGTAAAACATATCTGCCAACATCTCCAAGAAGCACAATGCTTCCCAGTTGGTCTTAGCTTCATATCTGTTCCTGCTACTGTCACTGCACCCGGTCAGCCATGCACTGATGTGCTGATCAGGAGGTGTAGGCCACATGTTTACAAAAACAGAGACAGAGAAATTACAGAAATGTGAGATCTTTGTTAAAATGACATGTCAGTATTAAATATTAAGTGAAGAAACCAGCATGAAACTCATACCAATAGTGTGGCCCTCACCATATGTACCTCTATTTATCTAAAGGAAAACACATAGGAACAATAACTATGATTCCATTATACCTGGTTAATGGATTCATTCTTCTATTTTAACTTTTATGAATTTTCTTAAATTTTCCTTAAAGAATGAATACTATGATAATGATTAAAAAATATTTTGAAAAATATCCATGTACTTATATAGTCATTTTAAATTAATATATGCATATAGCAATACATGCACATATTTACATGTTTGAATCATATCACCTATATTGAGAGAAAGGTCCACTAAGTCAGTAGTTAGGGCTTAGGCTCTAAGCACAAACTACTTGCATTTAAACATGGCTCTAGCACTTAAATCTATAATGTTGGGCCAGTTATTTAACACCTCAGTTTCTTTGTAAAGTGAGAATAATCAGGTATCTCCCTTCTGACTTTGTTATAAGGAATCAATGAGATGATTCACCTGAATCTCAAACTCCCTAAAGCCAAGGTCTTTGTGTGGTTCCCCACTATGCATACCTTGTCCTCCCCTCAAAAGATGAGGTAGATGGACATTGATCACTCGCTCTTTCAGCTGGACCCCGTAATGGCAATATCTCACACTCTTTAGGCACTAGCCAAGAACAGAGATTTTACCTGCAGGCAAAGAGTAGAGTGAGTTACACTATGACACAACCTCTGCCTCCTCAGAACTCCATTGTCACAAACTAAGATCCTCCGGCAAGACTACTAAGTAATCCCTGTGCAAGGACCAAAGGTAGAGGGCAATCAGGCCGGTTGGATGCCTGGGCTTCTACTATTAGCATGCAGCTAATTCTATCAGCACAGGGTGTTTTCGAAAGTCAGAAGGCACCCTTTGCTACCAGCTTACATAGAGTTTTTCCAGCATTTTCCAAGAACCATACAAAGGCACTGCTGAGAATGCTAAAAAAATCAAGCAGGAACAAAAGTAAGAATAACTTCATTTACAGTACTTATTGGTAGTAAGCATTAACATAGCCTAATTCTCATAACTGTAAGATCTACTTTCTGAAAGAATTTGAATTCTAGAAAGAAAAACATGAACTTAAGCACTTGTTTTATTATAACACATACAAAGGACAGTTCAAAGAAGCTTAGTAGAAGACATAGTCTTGGATCATTGGCACAGGTGGTATCAACAAAGAGCCTTCCAAACAAGCGGGGGGGGGGGATATTAAGAAATAAATCTTAAAAATGTGAAAACAAGGTTAATCAATAAGTGATAAAATTTATACTTTTAAATAAAGATGACATGGAAAAGAAGCACCTCTTGTGGAAAACAGCACTGTCTTCTATACTTCAACAGCATGCTAAAAGCCAGCATACCTCATATGCCACTGCATTGCATTGTGTGATGGCTATGACTGTGTGGGAGACAGCAGGCCTCAGGAGTGTGACAGATCAGGCTCACGATCCAACCTCACCACAAGCAAGTTTAGTGCTAACACAAGGCTTGTTTCTGCATCCATAAAAGACACAGAATGATCTAGGACTGAAATAATGGATCAAATTCACCAAGTATTAGGCCTTCATGTAAGGAACATTCTGAAAAATTTGGGTCCCTTTACCACTTATTTTGAGCTTTTAAGGGTAGCAGTTCTGTCGTATGGATGTCTGTCTTACACAACAACTGGCACAAGGCTAGCAAACAAGTATCTGTTGGCCAAATAAATAAATAATTTGCAGCTGTCATCCACACATATGTCAAAATCTGGGTCATGCACTAGGAAAACCCAGGAAAAGGGAGACTCAGTGTGGTTCACCCTCCTGATTCAGTTCCCTTCCCCCAGCAACAAATGTGTTCATGTCTGCATATGTTGAAAAGCTGGTATGTCTCATCTTGTCCCTGCCAGACACAGCCCTCAAATTAAGGCAATCCCAATCCAAATCGTACCATCCTACTGTGTAGTTTGAAGCTCTATATTTTAAGCACAGGCCAGAAATGCAATTGTATGGAAATGACTCAAAACCAACTCTCAGGTTATCTCTACTGGGCAAAATCAATAAGAATGGAGCCCTATTCAGTCTTCAGCTCTAAGGAGAGAGCTCACTAAAAAAAATCTTTTCAGGCCTCCCATACTAGGTCGTGCTCCTTCTATGTCTCTTGTGGTGACCCACGCTTGCACTTATGACTCAGTGCATTATAATGATGAAAGAATGGTAGCTTATCTGCTCATGTTTCTCCCTTGCTCTATATACTGTTGCTAAGTGAATGCATGAATTACAAGTAATTAAACAATAACTGATTTCTTTTTAATCTATTTTCCTTTTATATAGTGAAGATTTACAGAGAGCAGTAAGGACCTCTACAATAGTCTTAATTTCCTACACACAAGGAAAAAGCAATGGGAGGGCTGGGGAGCTCAAGTGTTGAATCCACCTGCTTTTAATTCTGGCTCATAAATTAATTCAGACCTAAAGACTCAGCCCACTTTATATGTGGTGGGAGTGAGGCTGTGAGATGGTAGTAAGTAACTCATCTAAGAATATAAAACTTAGAGTGGCTAAGAGAGAACTTCTAAACTTTTCAAAGAAAATTGAGAAAATTATATAAAAAGTCAAATGACAACAGAAGACACATAGATACTATACTAGACAAAAATAAACAAAACCACTAAGAACAAAATACACTGGGTTCTTTCCCTTCAAACACAGGAAATGAGCTGGAAAAGAAACCTGGTTTATTTTTGGCCTTTTGTGTTTTAAGAACTTTAACAGAATTTATCCCTGACTCACTACCTAAAAGATAAATGCAGTGTTTTTATTTTGTGTTTCAAGCTTACTTTAAATTTATAATTGTTTGAAAGCTAAAAGAATATGGCACAAATCTCAAGATTCCTGTAGCTAGACAGAGCTAATATAGAAAGCAGAAAATGAGCAGGACCTGCTGTGGTTTTTGAGACCTGGCTAAGACAGAGAGAGGCCAGCTTCATGGTGCACAGGCTGCAGCTCATCTCCCTGGAGCCATGGGACCATGCTGTCAGTCACACATGCATAAGTGAGCCTTTGTTTGCTTCTTTTTTTAAAAGGAGAGGCATTAGAGAACCACGCTTAAGATCAACTACCTGAGTTCAAATCCTTTTTCCAACTTAATATGTCTGAGCATTGATTTCTTCCTCTGTAAAATTTGGGTAACAATAATACCAGCTTTAGGTAGTAAGAAGAGAATTCATCAAAATGTTGAACACAAAGCATATAGCATAGAGCTGGGCATCCAACAAGTGTTCAAGGGTCTTGAATACTTATATGAATAATAAGGGTACTGTATAAAAATAATAATGCTGTAATCTAATGAGCTTCCAAATTTAGGGGGAAAAGGTTTTCAGTGTATTTTACAAGTGATGACAAAAGGTGAGTGTTGTTTTTTTAGAATGAAAAAAACTGAATACTCGCAATTCTCATCTTGGCCTACTTGAATCACAAAGAAAGCAGATGTTAATCTCAGTTCCACTAAGAGGAAGGTGAGCTGAAACTCTGGCCTGCATTGATTGCCAGTGTCCAGAGGACCCTGCACCCTATATACCTTAACCCTCACTTTAGCAATGATCCTAGCTAGCCCAGGAAAGCGCCACACTTCCCCTAATATTTAAGGGATACTCAGAAGACAAGAATAAAGAAAATAACACTGGGCAATTATATACTGAGTATTCTATTTAACCGTTAAAAAATCTAAAGTATTTTTTTTAACAAAAATCCATTTTTCTGTAAGATGAAAAGCCATTTATTTCACTCGAAAGAAAAAAAGTAATCAAGCTCTATAGGTTTATTT